AGTGCCTAAATTTACAGAAGTGAGCCATTGTGCCCGGCCACACACACACGTCTTACTTCTATGTCACCAGGCATACTTGCTATTTTTCATTGACTGTGTCCAAGGAAATTAACATAATGTCATCATTGTAGTGAACCAGTCTATTATTCCATAGAAATTCAAGTGTTCAAAGTCCCTTTGGACTACAAAATAGAGCAGGTGAACTGCCCAAATCACGAGGCTACAAATTGAAACACGAATGTAAATGCTTCTCATTGTCTCTGCCAGTAAACACAGAAAACTGCACTGTTAGACCCATAGTGGCATATCCAGGGTCTAAAAGAACCTACAGCCAGAGGGTTCTTTTAGCTACCGTTGTCACTACCACTTTCACCTGCCATAAACTGCCATGGCCTGTCCTCATTCTGCACATCCTGTTGCAGTGGCCCAACAGATGCCATAGATGGAAATGGAGTATCACCCCAGGTCCCTGCGTCTCTCAGGCTTGATGCTGGCACTAACCTCAGGAAATCCCTTCAAGGTGCTTTATTGCTTCTGATTTGTTGCCTTGGTAGGTGACGATAGTGCCAGGATTATTATTACCTTTTGGCTTTTTCTACCACAATGGGCCTCACTCTAAGGGGAACCTATGTGGGGATTGTTTTCTGGCTCCCTACTCCTATGATACACCCTGGGAGGACAGACATAACAGCAAGATGAGTCCATCTATCTCCTGGCCTGGTTTACAATGGGGATTAACATCCCCACCATCCAAATAATCCCCAGAAGGTATGATGATTTCCCTTTGACCAGGGCCCAACTCAAACACACACAGGGGCTCCAGGTCTCTCTGGTGTGGGAGAAGGTGCACTGTCTACATCCTTGGCTGCACTCCAGGGTCCTTCTGAAATGTACCCCATCTGCTTCTCCTTCATGGGATTCCAGATCAGTGAACTAACTTAGTCTGGAAACTGAAAAAGAGGTCACATAGTGACTCAAGTCACAATTTTTCCCATCACAGCTATAAAGTCTCCTATCTATCGAGCAGTTTGTTAGTCAACTTCTCATTGATTTCACTTTTTTTTTTTATATTGAATGGTAACTATGTACATTAATGCACTTCTGGGGTACAGTGTGGGGTTTTCACATGCAATCTGAAATACTTCAATCAAACTGGTCAACACAGCCTTCATGTCATTTTCTCAGTTATTGCTTTAAAATGTTCACATTCTACTCTTAGAAAGATTCACCTGTACCCCTATGATTTCACTTTTATGGACATTTAGTTTCACCACTGATCTCTAACTGTCAAAACACTCTGATGACTTTATTACTGTATGGCTTATTTCAGTGACTGGGAACAACTTGTTTCCGAAGGCTGTAATACTCCTCAGCCATTCTAAGATCCTCTTTTTTTCTTTCCCCATTGAGATCAGGGAATGAACTCAGTCCAAGCATTTCCCATAAGCATCAGAAGTGAGCCATCATGAAGCTCTTGAGGTCCCCTCCTCAGAGCATTTCTTAATCTATCCTGGAGCTAGAGTAAGGAAGTAGAGGTGCAAACAGCCAGGCATTCCATTTCAGCTCTCCCATCTCCCCAAACCTTGGGCTTTTTTTCTTTCCAGTAGGCCAGAGAAATTCCAGCATTGACTCCAGATATTGAATTGCTTCAATGAGCAAGAAAACAAAATTTAAAATTTTTAGCCAAACTAAGAAAATAAGAATATACCAAATATATAAATATTATATATAAAATATATATAATATATAATATTTTTTATATTTTTATT